GGGGGAAGGGAGGGCAGGAACCTGCGACGGGAGAGGAGAAGGGAGGGAGAGGGAAGGCCGTGATAATCAAGGATAACGGAAGGTCGAAGTTCGACCGTCCGAAGGGGAGGCGAAGGGGTAAGGTTGGGCAGGAACCACGATGGGAGAGGAGAAGGGAGGGAGATGGTGGAAGGCCGTGATACTCCAGGTTTTTACGTTCTCACACACAATTTTTTGTAGTAATCGCTGCTTGTGCATATCTCACCCTCTCTTACTCTCAATGATGATGACGCCTGAGGTGATGCATGTGCCTAACTCGCCTCCCACCGCGCCAGTCTCCCAGTGCGGGGCCCCAAGGAGAAGCAAGCTATGGCCGGTCGTCCCACCTTACGCGTTTTTTCTGTCTTAGCCGGTACCTGCTTCCGTCTTCAGTGAAGAACTCATTCCGCTGCACCTTGTCTGAAATCCCGTCGCGGATCTTCACACTAAACCGGAACCCCGTCGGGACAGTATCCCTGCACCTTCCTTTTCCTCCCCTCGGCGGCAAGTAACCCTCCGCCTCCCCCTGTCCACGTTGCTATGGCTGACTACCGTCCATCTCCTTGCCACTCTGCAACCCTCCGTGTGCTGCACTATCTCGACGACTGTTTTGCGCGACTTCCAGCGTAAGCCCGTTGCGCTGCGTGCCCTTCCTCCTTCCCCATCCTCGCCTTCATCCGACTCCTCCTCCACTGCGGAAGAGGACGACGACTGCTTATTGCCTGTCTCTCCGTCTCCTTCTTGTTCCCTTTCTATTACTCCGTCTCCATCGCCATCGCCATGAGTTTTCTTACGGAGCGAGCTCTCGGCGATCCTCTGCAGGTGTCACGGTGTTACATCTCGGCGATTCGACAAGTTCATCATCCGCGGCTCAATCCAGATCTTCGGCGACCTGCGCAGTTCTTCTATACCCAGGGAGTGTACGCAGCTGCTGAGTTTCGTTTTGCGGGAAGTCCCCGGGCGGTTGTTTTAGCAGAAGCGGTAGGAGTTCATCGGTGATCGGCGTCGAGAATCAGCCACGTATCTACGGTGGTCGCCTTCAGTGGTGACATCCGCACCATCAGCCTGTTGCGGCATACAACTATTAAGACGACGCTCCGGCTGTGGGCACAGCAGTTGGCAGCAGAGTGGAATCGTTGGCTCACGCCCCACGGAGATAACCTTGTTCCCACGGACGGCGTCGATTTCGATGGAATCCGAACCTTCTAGCACGAGCCGGCGGTGGTGCTCCCGGAACTCATCCCCTTCCCCCGTCCCCAATGAACCCATCCCCAATCTCCACCTTCGACCTTCCCTCCTTCTTTCCCAGCTTCTGGCAGTCCGGAGTCCATCCGCATCTTTCCTTTTGTCTGGAATCACTTGGTGTCCCCCTCCTCGATCCCTTGCAGTGGAGGCGTTGGCGAGAACACTTCGTTGAGCTATCGGTGTGTCTGGTCGGAGTAAGGGTCACGTGGACGCGGCACGAGGATCACCGCCAGTGGGCCGAGTACCTCGAGCTGCTTATCATTCAGGCGTGGCGAGGGGAAGTGGAGGGCGATCTGCTCGGATTCCTTTCCGGATCGATGCGGCCCGATCATCGCCAACTGATCGTGCACGAGTTAACGGTCCCCCTTGCACAGCTGGCCGACGATCTCCCACTCGAGATTGTCTCGCAGAGCGACGATAGCCCCGTCCCGCACGTTCTCACTCGGACCTTGGCGCCATATCTTCAGTGGTCGGCGTGCTTGGAGGAACCTGGAAGCAGCCGCAACCCACCATCACAGCCCGATTATCTGGACCCGCACGAGATAGTCGACCTCGCCTTCTTCGAAGATCGGACAGCTTCCGAGAACGAGGAAGTAGATATTGAAGCGGAAGAAGAAAGCTCGGAAGAAGAAGAAGAAGTTGAAGAAGAGGTTGACGAGGAAGAAACTCCCGAGGAGGGGAGTTACAGTGAGCACAGCGAAGGCAAGCAAAGTGAGGAGGAGGAGGAAGAAGAACAAGGCGACGGAGACGAAGAAGAAGATCAGGAGGAGCTGGAAGAGTCGGAGTGGGAAGGATTCGAAGAGGAGGTGCGTGACGAGGCTCGGGAGCAGGCTCAAGCGCAAAAGAGGGAAGACATCGCGGCCGGGAAGCGACGTTTGGAATTCGCCAGCGCAGCCGGCCAGCCGCGCACCAACGACCCGGCCCGGGATCCAGAGCCACCTAAGCCCGAGGATGGAGAGACAGCTGCCGAGACTTCGGCCGCAGCAAGACGGCGACGAAGCCGATCCCCCTCCCCCTTTACCACCAACCACCCATCAACTCGTCCACGTACCGATGCGGGGCATCGGGCTTCGTCCCCGGTCGTTATCCCCCCGTCCCTTTGATCACCTCTCTTTCCGCCAGATCACCGCCCACGTCACCTTCCCCCCCAATCCCTTCCCCATCGATACCTTCCGCTTTTTCTACACTACCCGCCTCGCCGCCACTGTTCATCCCCACCCTTCCACCCGATGCGCCCTCCCTGTCTTCTGCCTCCATATCCTTTTCCTTAGTGTCGCGTGGCGAGGCCACAATATGATTGAGGTATACTGTATGATTACGGGGACTATCCCCGCATGCGAGAACCATGATCGCTTCCGCGCGGCCCTTTTTAGAACCTTTACCACCCTCTATCCCGACTATCTCGCATCCCTCCCTCACACTGGCAACCGATTCCCCTGCTTCCACCGGATTGTTCACTATCAGGAACTTCCGGAGACGGTGGCCGGAATGGAGAGCTTCCTTCCCCCGTTACCTATCAACCCACCCCCTCGCCACCCCTCCATGTATCGTCTCCCCTTTCCCCTTCCCGACGCTCGCTGATGTACGACTGATGGACACGTGTCATGACAGCGACACGTGTAATCCCCTCCTTGGATTGTCAAAGGCCCTCCCTGAGGAGTTAGTAGTAGAGTTGTGTTGCCACGATGGATGACGTCCACACTCATTCGAACGGTAAGTGGCATAGAGAGAAGAGCTCTGCGTGTCGATCGATTAGAGAAATCGAAACGTGTTAACAAGCAAGCAGGAGCTTGCTAATATTGGAACCCCCTGGGCGTCACATATGTGACAAACCACTTTCCGCACCACGCAATTTCCTGCGCGATAAAGATGAGGGGTCCTAAGCTGGGAAGGTTGGGCCAATTACGAGAGATTGGGATGGATGGGAAGTTGCATCAGTACCCTCGCTTCTTCGTCTATTGCGTCGATTCTTTTCGGTTGGCTGAGTTCGGAGCTGGGTGTGTCCCGGGACGGGTGATTGATTGGTCAGGTGGATGGAGGGCGCGCTGCCGAGCGTGCGAATAATAAACGTTGACGTCGTTTCTTTTGTTCGGTTTGGGAATTTAGGCGCGGACATCGCGCGGGAATTTGCTTCTCTCTTTTTGAATTTTCTTTTTGAATTCTTTTTCGAATTTTGTCGAGCCCCGATGACTCTCGGAATTTCGGATTTTCTTTTCGGAACTGATGCTTTTGCTTTTTCGCAGTAGATAGGAATTTAGAAATTTTGCAATTAAGACTTTCTTTTGCCGCGCGGCGCTTACGCGCTTCTTATGCGGCTACAGCGGAATTCTGATTAGTTGGCGCCTTTAATCGGATGTGTAACTGTAATTTTGGACTGGCGCCATTGTAACTGTATCTTTCTTCTTGCACTTCTCCTTTCCCTCCCTTCTTCTTCTTCTTTTTGGTGCATCTTGGTGGCCGTGGTCCGCATGATCGGATTGAAGCGTGGAGTGTGGCTACGTCCCCCACGCCGCGATCTGGCCATACAAACGTAGGCAATCCCTCCCCCTTCTTTCCTCTCAAGTCCTTGTAATTTCGTGTTCTTCGCGCACGCATGCACGCTATAAATTTCGGTTGCGCGACTAGTTAGCTCTCTTAACCAGCTGTTGGAAGCTCGGGGTTGCGCGATCAGAGAGGGTCGGCACACGAGCGAAGTAAGAGGTGAGTAGAGCAGGAGTGGGGCGACCCGACGAGCTGGTGCCAAACGCGCGGGGTTGACGCGGACCACGACGGACTGTGGGCGCGGGCGAACCTGACGAGTGCGGGAGGACTAAGCGGGGTGACGGCTTCGTGGGTTGGTGCGCGACGACGGACTGTCCGCATCGGAGAGGGAGAAAGAGAGGAAGAGGGAGCTGAGGTTGATGGACGCGGATTGCTGTTTCTTTTATCTTTCTCCCTCCTGTCTCGTGTATATAAATTTTGATTTCGGCTCGGGGTGATTCACCCGTATCTGTTTTTCGGAATCTGGGTTTGGCTTTTTGCTCACACTTGTCTTTGCGATTTCCATCTCCGATATGATTGTATGACATGATGAATGATGTGTGAATGGATGTTGCGCCTGTCTTCTCGCCGGATCCTTGCCCTTGCCTTGGTTCACTGACCTTGATGCACTCATGAGTAGGATAGGAATTTTGTGCAGTCGATAATCCTGTTCTCGTTTTCGTTTATCTTTTGATCGAGTTGTTGTGATTATTGCATCTTGCATGCTCGAAAATTACGGAGTAACTAGACAGTCGAATCTCCAGCCCAGGGAACGCCGCGCGTGGACACACGTAAACGCGACCTGATTTGCGCAGTTACACGTGCCCCCGTGCGTCGATTCGCCAAATCCGAAAAAGCCCCTCGATTGCAGAAGTACTGTCTGAATGGATGCGGCTATCCGGGGCTTGCGACCGAGCAATCATCCCGTGCGAACACGCGTAAGCACGACTCGATTCGTGCAGCCTGCACGTGCTCGCACACGGTGATCCTAATCGGCCCAAACCCGCCCTTAGGCATCTCGCAACTCGATGATGACATAATGACACACTCCGAGAGCTCGGAGTCGTTGTTGTACGATCCGGACTACTTCACCCCCTGGGTAAACGAAATCCTCCGACAGAGATATCCTTGCCTCACCGAGAACCGACTGTGTCCTAGGGAGTTTCACTGCGCCACCACTAGCGACCCCCGGTGCTCTGATCTCCCCACTCAAGCCCACACACACTACTTCACCCACCCCGGATTTGTCGTTATCTCCACTAGTTTCCCTCCTTTCCGTCTTCTTCTTCCGTATCACCGACTCAGCGCCGTCCTGTGGAAAGCCATAGCCCCCTACTGGCCCAGCACACCCTGCGGAAATTGCCGACGACGCGGGGACCAGCGGCCCCCGGAATTCCAGAGACCTAACCCGAACGCGCGATGACCAGCGCCACATGGCAACTTCCGACGGCCTGACTCGTCGGAACCACACCTACCCCGGAGGGACCCTCCCGCGAACCGCCGTCCTCGGAACCAATGGCTCACGCGACCTTGAACGACCCGCGCACGCCATCTGCCTTATGACCAGGGGCGATTCTCTCTCTCTCTCTCTGCCAAATTGCACGACTGCCCCGAAAAACTCTTCCACAGGAGATCTCAGTTCTGACCTGGGACTCCACCCCCACTTTCCCAAAAATCCTTGGCACACCCCTTGTCGCACTTCCAGGCCCACACTCTGCTCCGATCAGGAAGTCGCGCTGGGCGTGAGGTTTGGGCGTCACATGCCTAGTAACTATCCTCTCTACAACACCCTGGGCTTTCATAAACCACTAGTACCTCTGCCAGTGTTGGGAAATTACAATGTAATGGTCTGTCCCCTAAGAAATCGGTGGTGGGACCCAGGGTCGGCGAGTCCCATAAATCTTAGTTTTCTTTTGCCCGCGCGTGAAAAGGAAAAGGGGGAAAAAAAAAGCTTCTGTACTGCAATGATGTCGGGCAGGGTAGGTAGTCTAGGACACCGTGCTCACAGTCTTCCTCTACAGAATGCATCCTACAGCAAAGACGGTCACATTCTGAAACTTGTTGTTTTCTTTTTTTTATTTCTCGTTTGTTTGTTATGAGTCCCCTGCCAACGAGGCAGGGCGGAATCCCTGATCTGGGCTGGCTGTGTTTCCTCAGAGGATTGTAACCCTGATGTATCCAGTCATTTTCACAGCCCAATCCGTGTTTCCGTTTCTTCTTTTTTTTTTTCTGTTTCTGGACTCTGACAATCTGAATCGGTGATCTGCCCGAGAGCTGTGTTCACTCAGAGGATTGTAACCTTTATCACACTGGCACTTAGAGGAACGTATCCAGCCATTGTCACGGGCGAATACATGTTTTTTTTTTTTTCTTTTTTTTTTTTTTTACAAACCTGGCCAAGGGGCTGAGATGCCCTCACTGAGGGCACACTCACACTACCACTTCCAAGAATGTATACAACTGCAATCATGGCCAGAGCATTGTTTCCTTTTCTTTTTTTGTGAGTTTGAGGGCCGCAACTTTTCTTTTTTTTTTTCTTTTTTTTTTCTCCCCGTGAGAGTACCATAAAGAAATGGAGTGGGACCCAGGCTTGGAAAACTCGGCGCGCAGTGAAATTCAGGGTCGGCATTACAGGCTCGGAGGTACTGGTGGTATAAGAAAGAAAAAAGAGAAAAAAAGAAAAAAATAGATGCTGTACACATGTCCTATATATATGTTTCCGTGTGCTGCAACAGCAGTGTCTAATGGCCGAGGTCCAACTTTTTATTTTTTTATTTTTTACTTATTGTTATATAGCCGGGAACCGGGCCCGGCGTCCCTTACATCATTGCTCCAGCCAAACGGGCTAAGCGAGGCACTTCCGACCAGACCTATCCCCGCGGCTGCAGACCACGAATCACAACCCAAGCAAAATTTTCCAACCCCACAATAGTTAAACACCCCTATTCTAAATAAAATTCATCCAACCAAGTGAGAAATTAGAGATCCAAAATGCCTAATAATCTCGCTAACCTTACCGACAAGCAAAATCCAAAATTAACCCTAATCTAAGAAGATCTATAACCAACCGACGAAATTGCTATCACCGAATACCTAATTAGAGACAACCATCGCCAAGGTAAGCAACCTAGTTCCACAAAGCCAGTCGAAATCCCACACAAACCTCGGCTCAGCATTTTCACACGAAACACACCTATTCACGTTTTCACAAGGAAGCAGCGAATCGCAACTGAAGAATCAAAGTCGCTATACAGTCATTCTTCCCTATCGTTACCCTAATGATTCACAGCCAGTAAGGCGACAAAGCAAATTTCGAGCACGGTTCTCTCTCTCTCTCTCTCTCTCTCTCTCTCTCTCTCTCTCTCTCTCTCTCTCTCTATCTATCTCTCTCTCTCTCTTACGCGAACTACACTGCTGTATATACCCTAAGCACCTAAAATCAATGTACAGTAAAAAATTTTCTAAACCTATACAGCCAAACAGTTAGTCTAACAGTTGTGTCGTTCATAAACACAATCAATAATCCGTCAGAGATCCAAAGACTAGGAAGTCCTGAGCAACACCACGTCCAAAGCAGGAGCATCGGCAACAGTGGACAAACCCTGGTCGTGGCTGAAGTCCTGTGTCAGCAATTCGCCAACAGCTCTGGGCGATACCAGTCGCAGCGAGA